AGACCTCAATTGAAGATAGTTACTCTTTTTTGTGTACTCTAGCGGAAGTTCGTATCTTAGATTATCTTGGTATAAATGTTGATATATATATCTATTGTGTGATTTCTTAATATAACAAAATTTCCAGAAATGCACAAAACTTTGAAACCTTACAACGTTCATCAAACAACATTTTTCCTGACTGTCCTGATTTACTGATTACGACACACCCTATATACACTGAGAACCAAATTTGTCTGACAGCTTGAGTTCAATGTGTACCAGAGAGAAGTGTGTATAGACACGTATATTAGAAAGAGATAGAAGCCGGCTGGACAGCGAAGCTCATCATCGCCTTGTCTAGCAACGCTGACATGTTACACCAGCTCCTTGAATTAAGATGCATGTTGAAAATATGCGTTACTTAGTTTATTCTTTACGCCCAAATAATGGTTTTATTTTAGGCGTACACATTTTTGAATTATGAATTGCGTCGAATCTGTTCGCTTGGCAACACCGCGTCTCGTACAATCCAAAGCAGAGTTTCCACCTCCATGATCACAGATGAGCGATGGTCACTACCCATCTAGCGCTTACTAGTTTTATTCAAAATGGGTTCGTAACATATTCTGGATTGTTATTAAATATTCTACGGAAACCCTATTTTACGATGTGATCAATCGTGGATGACCAAATCGTTAAACGTTTACGATTTAACAATATGGTCAAATTTAATGAAATAGACCATTCTACGATATGGCCACAACATATATACCATAATAAAGAAGAATTTTAAACAGACAAGGTTTGAATGGCCACATAAACCCTCGGGATTACCTTATATAGGTGATGCAGTCTGCTGATATAATGCAGGGACATCATTTGATTACTTATATACATTATGTGTACTTATATACAACAGAGTGATTGTAATTGTAAGCCCAGGAATTCTTTTTTTTTTTTCATTTATATTAATAATTTCATATTATGTAATATTTGATTTCCTGATGGCTAATAAATGATAAATATAAAGCAATGGATAAAATGAACATAAATATGCGCGATATGTTGTATTATGCAGCACAGGCAAAGATTGGGTAATCGTTTTTGTTTGTAATTTCAAATGAGATTTTATAATAAAGATACACATATGTGACGCCCACATTCAAATTATAACAATGTCCATGGAAAATAACGTTAATTACATTTTTGAAATGATACTAAAACCAAATAACAAAACCTACAGTGAATATTGAGAAATTAACAAACAACTTATTTTACAGGATCAAACAGTCAAACGATGTAACTAGTTTAGAAGATCTCACAAAGACAAACAGAGGTCAAAGAAGTTATAAAACGTTCATTTTCTAATATAAAAAAAAATCTTAGAGAGAGAGTTTAAGTCCAATTTTGGTACATTTTATAAACCTTTTCTCAGATTGATGTCACAGATTTTTTCTATGTAATGCAATAATTTACAATAATGCCGGACCTTCAACTATTATCATGTTTCGAAAAAAAATTCTGAGCAAAACAACAAATTGTTAGAATTAACGATTCAGATTGTGTAAAACTTCATACCACGTTTGGAACATATATTATGATGATATTAATGTAACCAATGAGATATAGTCACAATACTCGTATGCTTGAAAATTAACAAAATGTGTAAGACTGTAATCTGTGTATATGTAACTGTTATAACAATATAAGAATACTGTGTCGCTATACTCATGGAAAAAGTCACTAAAAACATATAAAACATGTCTTAGTGGAAATTGAGTTACATTCACCTGGTGTAATTCAAATTGCATATTCTAGTGTAAATGTGACAATTTCGCGATTTGACTTTGATCAACGCGTAGCAAATCAAGATATGATCATTTGAAACTAGCGTGATTTGGCCTACAACAACCAGAAACGCGTCAGTTGCTCACATAGTGACGTCAGATACCTTTTTGCCAGTGGTTCCAGTATTTACACTGATAAGTATTTCTTTTTGAATTTGAATGGTACATTACTGCAACTGTGACAAAATAACGATTCTTAGAGACAAAAGTTATAAATCACATATATAATTATATATCTTGATTTTTTTCGAGGTCATATAATAAGTTTTTGTCACTACCTCGGTGTCACTTCTCTAGCAATTTTCATGTTAATTTCTTTTTACTCTTTTTCTTTTTTCCTTTCTACTTTTTACCTTTGCTTTACAATAAAAAATATTATAAAACATTGAAAGCAACGGATGCGACCCGCTATGGAAAAATGTCTAGCTTCCAAACATAAAAGTTATCGTGAGGGTATTTTAGCTCTCAATTTATACGATTCTCTTGTTCCAAGACCGATGGAACAGACTTGTTATTTTTAATAAGATGAACTATGGAATTTATTTACCTTAAAGAATCTTTTTTATAAATTAAATGTCACCCCCCTGGTTACACATTTTCCCCTTGCATGTATAAAAGCTGTCAAAATCAAAATATTATCTGACTCTATCACATACAGGAAATTTTCAAAGTTGAGTCATTAATTTCAACTGCTTGTAAGACTCGTCATCGTTTATCTAAATTTGGCAAACTTTTTGTGTTATTGTTAATAGTGTGTATACTCTCATTTGTTTGATTATTTTTTGCCAGAATTATTAGATGTTCCTCTAAATGTGAGGTTGCTCGCTCCTCAGATTTAAAGCTTTGCGATTTTTTTCTGTGGGGCTATTTGAAAGAGTTGGTGTATCACGCTGGAGCAGTTAATGCTCTGGAAGATCTTCAATAGCGCACTGAAAATAATGAATATGGAAACAAAATAACCTATTTTGCTTGGTTAACACTGAAAACCGAAATATCGCATATTCACCCAAACAAATGTATCATAAAACTTATTCTTTAGAATGCCAAAATTAAATATTTAGGTATATTTTACAGCTTGACCTGAATACATGTGGATACTTAATGGGTTGTGCATGCCTTTAATTACAAAGTAGCAAATAATTTGGTAAACTAATAGTAGAATAGAGAGCAAGATTTTACTAAAATCGAAGTGAGACATATTAACCTCCACAAGTTCTTGATGTCGGTTTGATAATTATGTATTGATATTGATTCAGAGGTTAATCTCACCCCAGTTAGTGATTAACACATTGTATTTTAAGACAAATCAAGTAATTAAAACTCTCTATCTTGAAAAGCAAAGTTTATATATCTCCAGTTTCATAGCCGCAATACATATTGAGCTCCTAGAAAAAATTACTGGGCTGAACCTTGAACTGGAAACGTCGGGAAACTCAAAAGGCTTCACCACTATGCCCATTAATTTTCAAAAATAACGCAAATTCAGGGATCACTAGACAGAGGAACACAGAAAAATTGCGACAGATTTTTCATCTTTTTAGACTCTATTAAGGCATTGCTTAAATATTAAAAGCATCCCGTCAAAAACGTTGGTATTGTGCTACTTTGGCTACAAATTCAATCAATAATAATGCGTAAATCATTGCCAGAAATTTATTTATCAAAGTTGTTATGCATTTGTTATCAATATATTTTGTTTATTGAAGTTTTGATGTACGTTTGGAAGGACAAAATTCCTACATAATGTCATCCAGGTCAATTATGGAGAATTTTCAGAAAATATTCAATATCAAACCACAATTTTAATCGTTTTGCTGTGTATTGTTAAATATTATGTGTCACTTTTAAATGTATAGGTCAGAATGTATGTGTATTAAATCCTTCTTATACATGTAAAATGGTACATCTAGATCACATGGAACCTTTAGGAGCTTTTCTAAATATATTTAACTTAAATAAGATTGATATAATTTTATTATTGTCTAACTTTTTATCTGTTCTTTATCATTACATATGGTTTAACATGCACTTTTGAATCCTTGTCTATCATCCACTATATTCTATATCATTTTTTAATATGTACTTTTGAACCTATGGGAATGATATCCTTATCATCAATAAAACAACATTTCCAAGTCAATTTTTTGATACCATTAATGTTAATATGGGGTCTTTAGTTCTTAAGTATTCAATGAGGGAAATATACCTCCATGCTCTCTTTTTTTAACACAGTACTAATGTTTACATGTAACTGAAAACTTTAGATATTGAGCTTGCTAATCAAGTATTCTGTTTGAAAAAAATATATGGTCAAGTTCAGTTAAATAACAGGGCTAAATCCATCTTTTAGTGTCTTAACGTTCATATGAAATTCTTCTGACACTAAAACATCTGGTGGATCTGTCTATGATTTATGATTGAAACTGTCGGAAAATGATGTAATTTTTGCATAATTCATGGTTGTTTTCTTGAGAAAATCGATATGTCGGCTGGTTTGGCAAGAAAATGTTAAACTGTGACCATACCGCTTATGTTCGAAACGGGTAATAACGAGTCACGGTTTCTACAGGAATGTCAAGAGATACAGCGGTGCAGTCAAAGACCGACCTCTTGCTTCGTTTACCAATCAATCACCGTGCGACAAAAATACCATTTAAGATAAATAATAGCTTTTATTTACCTTTTTGCTTATGTATTTGTACGGTATCTTCGACACCTCAGCATACCACAAATCACAACGTTGTTTAATCACCTCCTTGCCTTTTCTCAACGTCAACACTAGTCTCACTACTAAAATACCTTTTCTAAAGCACAGTATTTGTCACAAGACTTATTTTATTCGAACCGGGTGAGTTATAAACACTAGAAATCTGCCATTCTCTCTCACTGCTTAGTCCGATGAGAGGTTAGAATTGACAAACGCACATTACACGACGATATGTCTCTATTTCAGACAGACAGAGTTCAATTTCGCGATGCACAGGGAGGTTACGACATTATTCGACAAGTTTTCTGGGTTTTTGTTGTGATAATAGAGTTAAAACATGGAATTTTGCGTGGGCAAAGCAGTTAAAACATCTCCCCATACGTGTTTGGACGCAGACTGAATGTTCCGTGCGATGTACACCCCACCCTATGGTGGCGCCGAGCGCATGCGCAGGATTACCTGTCATGATGCCCACGGTACAGCAACCGAGCGATGTAAACACGGGCCATAGAAAACCGACGACCGGTAAGTCTGAGCTCGGAGGAATGTCTATCGACTCTCAATCTGCAGTCTGCAGACTCATAATGTGCTTGATGCTTACAAATATAAATGGAAGCCAGGCCATTTCTTTCTTTTACTTGCCATGCAGAAGAGATGGAAGTATTTTGATTGTGCAACTATGAAACAATGTGATCTAAGCAGCAATTACAATATTTTTTTAAATTCTATTCAATACAGGTTCTTAAATGGCGAAAGTTTTACGCATTTTTATGGGCCATTTTCATTACCCGGAATGTCAGATAGCTAACTTGACCAGTTCAAAAAATAAGTAGGGGGGCTTTTAGAAAGGCGTCCAAACGATAAGGATCCTATGTATGGGGATCTCGATACCTGTGGGATAGACAGCTAAGGTTAAATGAGGAGAAAAGTTGCGATCTTTGAGGCGTTGAGAAAATGATAAGACTATATTTTAGCGCATGTCGCAAATACTTCATGTCTTATTTTAAAATAAAAGATTAGGATGTAACTTGAACGAAAGTATCATTTTTTTTAAAGAACCCTCTGCTTGCTATTTTATAGAACTTCAAAGTTGCATTTTTGCTTTTAAATGATGCTCTAAATTATAAGAATATAACATACACTGTATAGTAATTAAGGAAAATAGATGTGAAACTGTAAAAAATCGTTGTTTTTTGCAAAAAAAGGTTCAAAACCAGACGTGTTATTACACATTAGCTTATTAGCTAAACTAACAGTTCAAAATACATACGTAAATGATGGTATTTACTTGGTAAACTGTGTAGATTTTTCAGTCTTCTTGAAATTTTTTAGCCATTTTTTTTCGCGTATTTTCCATGAGATCAAAGTTTTTGCGTTTAAAAGAAATATTTGAAAGTACAAACAATTCTGAATGGCCGTTTTATAACGTTCATTTGTTGACGGATAAGATAAATGATGTCCACTGTTGCCAAGTTGTACCTTTTTTGGGAGAAATACGTGATAAAAAATCACTTAATTTATTGTAAATGGCTTGTTTTATGAGAAGTTGACCCAATATTTACCGAGAACTAGACAAAATTTTGAACAGTATGTGTCTAAACAGTGGAAAATGCACCAGCGGCTCGCGTGAAATAGAAAATACAAAAGGCACCAGCGGCGATTGCATATAAAAAAAACATCTTCGATTCGTCGATTTAGACCACCTCGCCAGGTCCACCGAACATATCATCGTCCAACATTATAGTTAAAATAGAGATCAACGGTCATTTCATCAAATCATCAAAAAACTTGCAATGTTCTTTGTTATGTTTTCATTATTTAGTGATTTGCAACAGCTACTTTTTCAGTTATTTCTCATATATCACATTTAATTAGGTACATTTTAAAACATCAGCTTCACTTTAAATAATTCTTCAAGTAAATACATTCAAAAAGTAAATTGATTATAACTATAATATAGGAAAAACAATAACTGAAGTACTTTTGTGAAGGGTGGATTTAGTACGGTAAAACCTGCCGGTCACACCTCCAAATCGCATTTTCATGACAATCCTGTGCCGATTGAACATTTTTGCGCTAGTATATAAGTAAGAATTTGACAAACCAAATTGAGATATATTACTACCCATGATTTGGCAACATTGTAACTAGTTGGAGAGAGTACGATAACGATGGTGGTGTAGTGATGGGAATACTTATCTGAACAATGAACTATTTTCATCATTAAAATAATGCAAAATTGTATTATTGCGATGAACGGTGTCACAGTAATTGACAGTGTATGTTATATTCATATAATTTTAAGCAATCTTTTGTGTAAACAAAAAAAAAAGAAACAGCTTATAAAGCAGTATTCTATACCACAGTATTGCCACACAAAATGCAACTTTGAAGTTCTATAAAATAGCAAGCAGAGGGTTCCTTAAAGAAAAAAATATATTTTTGTGTAAGTTACATCCTATAATCTTTCATTTTAAAATAAGAAATGTAATATTTGCGATATGCGCTAAAGTATAGTTCAGCCGAGAAAACTTCATGGCTTAAAAAAATTGGCCAAATCACTTTTATTTTTCCTGACCTGAATTTACAAAATATCAAAAAACTAATAAAACTTTCTCTTGGCATTTTTCAGGCACTACATGAAAGTGTGCTTAAATTTTGTGCCCGACGGTTCGTTTTTGAGAAACCACCATCAACTTTATTTTTTTATATGTATATACGTATGTGTTTTTTATACCAATTCAACGATGTATCACGTGTTAGATTTTTTTATTTTTCCAAGTAGACGTTACAAAAAAATGACGTAGATACCTGTTATCCTGTATTGTTATTATTGTCTATTGTTAATATTGCTTTATTACCTTCAAAGATGACAGGCGGTCATTTTAGCAATGAAGAAACGTTCGACATGCTAACGTGCTACATTTTATGCTACCAAAGTACTGAAAATACTGCAGATACGGGGAAATCTATGATGTGTAAAATATGACTGATAGTTGCATATAATTGCGGGGGTTGGGAGCATATAAATGAACTAACCTCAAAAAAAATTCATATACACCGCTCAACCTTCGAATTTCAACCCCACAACAATTTTTCTCGAAATGATTTACAAAAACTACAAAGCTTTTTAGCCCTTGGTATATCATCAACCTTGTATAAAAATGTCATCACTATTCGAGTGCTACTTCTCAGGTCATAGGAGAGCTAAGTATTAGCAAACAGACAGACACACAGACTGACCGACAGACTGACGGAAATGCATGACATGGTTTTTCGTGATGTGAGTAATATACAAAAAACACATATCACATTTTAGTAATTTGTTGCGATCACAATACCTCCTTACCCAGTATGTATGAAGTTTTTTTTATATCGGAGCAGCCTCGCAGGCAGAAGACTAAATGCCGGAGCACCGCGGCTAGCTATGATGATACCTGTTATCCTGTATTGTTATTATTGTCTATTGTTAATATTGCTTTATTACCTTCAAAGATGACAGGCGGTCATTTTAGCAATGAAGAAACGTTCGACATGCTAACGTGCTACATTTTATGCTACCAAAGTACTGAACATACTGCAGATACGGGGAAATATCTATGATGTGTAAAATATGACTGATAGGTGCATATAATTGCGGGGGTTGGGAGCATATAAATGAACTAACCTCAAAAAAAATTCATATACACCGCTCAACCTTCGAATTTCAACCCCACAACAATTTTTCTCGAAATGATTTACAAAAACTACAAAGCTTTTTGGTCCTTGGTATATCATCAACCTTGTATAAAAATGTCATCACTATTCGAGTGCTACTTCTCAGGTCATAGGAGAGCTAAGTATTAGCAAACAGACAGACACACAGACTGACCGACAGACTGACGGAACATGGTGACATGGCTTTTCGTGATGTGAGTAATATACAAAAAACGCATATCACATTTTAGTAAGTTGTTGCGATCACAATACCTCCTTACCCAGTGTGTATGAAGTTTTTTTTATATCGGAGCAGCCTCGCAGGCAGAAGACTAAATGCCGGAGCACCGCGGCTAGCTATGATGATACCAACGAAATTTTGTTAATACGATTTTTGAACTGCCCAAGGTTAGTAGAACTGGGAAAAGCTTCCTTTTGTAGATTGTTCTACAATCTCGACACCCTCGGGACAAAGGAGCGGTCGTATCGGCCAGTTCTGGATGTACGAAGTTCAACACGGTTGGGATGGGACGCCAAAGTCAGACGGGTCTGTCTGGCAGGCACATCGCGCGGCGGCATCATGGAAGAGAGCTGAGGAGCAAAGCCCGTTGGTGCAGCGAGAGTCATCGATCAGTCGGACCGCCCTCCTCTAGACAGCATCGAGCATGGATAAAGAAGTCGGGGCGTCAGCACCCCAAACGTGTGAGCAATACTCGAGACTAGGCCTTATCTGGGTCTTGTACAGAGTGAGAAGGTCATGCGGAGAAAAGTACTTCATAGCCCTAAGCAGATAGCCTAGCTTTTTCTCAGCTGCCGCAGCTGTTGACGAGATGTGTTCGTTCCAGATCAGGTCCTCGGTGATCTGGACTCCGACCAGCCGAAATGAATGGCTCTTTGGCAGAACTCGGGCGTCCATCGAAACTGGATGAACGGTAGGACGCTTTTTGTTCGTCAAAGTTCAGTGCTGTGTTTTGGAAGCATTGAACTGTACAAGATTGTTGCGTCGCCAAGCGGTGATAGCCTCCAGGTCTCTTCTTAGAGAGGAAGTCGTCGCTAGTCTTCTTTTTTCAGCTGTGGATTTGGCTGATCGTGCAAGAAAGTAGGTCGTTGATATTTAAGAGAAAGAGTGTTGGAGCCAAGGCCGATCCCTGTGGAACACCCGCGTTGACGTTGTGGGATGAAGAGGAGAACCCGTCAATTACGACGGATATCTTGCGGCCAGAGATAAAGTCAGCCACCCATCTGCAAAGCTTTTCTGGCAGCCATAGGATGGAAGTTTGCTTAAAAGGACAGCTGATCGAACGCTTTCGTAATGTCAAGAGCAACGACATGAGCCTCACCATAAAACTGGATGGGTTTACTCCACAGTTGTGTGACGTAAGCTAGGAGGTCCCCTGTGGATCGTTGGTGCCGGAAGCCATACTGCCTGTCGCTAATCAAGCTGTAACGTTCGAGGTAGTCCAGAAGCTCGCGATTTATGCACACCTCACCATCACCTGACTTACAACAGAAAGCAGAGCTATAGGCCTGTAGTTGTAAAGGTCGGTCTTAGATCCTTTTTTGGGATGGGTTGGACATGAGCAAATTTCCAGTTTTCTGGGAAGGTGCCGGATTCATAAGATATCTGGAAGAGATGCGAAAGAACTGTAGCAACCTCCGCTGTACATCTCTTCAGTACAGCGGACCAAAAGCTTTGTTGATGTCGAGCGACAAGAGCACTCGTCTTACGGTCTTATGCCTGAATGTTACCTCCCGCATAGTTTGGGGAACCCTTTGAATTGACGGCACTTGGGCGTTGGAGGGACGTCCATGGGAGTCGACACGTAAGT